GCAATTGTGCTGCCGCGGCTGTGCTGGCCCTTAACGTGCTTCACCAAGGGGTGGTTGCTAATTTGGAAATTTAACGCATCCCCCTTCTTTGGGGATGATTCTTATGGCAGTAGAACTACTGAATAGGGCTGAATACCACTAAAATGTGGTAAAGCACTGGACTGGAAATCAGGAAAACCGGGTTCTGGTCCTGGAGCAGTTGTGTGGTCCTAGACAAATTTCTCTCTCTCTCTCTCTTTTTTTTTTAACATCTTTATTGGAGTATAATTGCTTTACAATGGTGTTTTAGTTTCTGCTTTATAACAAAGTGAATCAGCTATACATATACATATATCCCCATATCCCCTCCCTCTTGCATCTCCCTCCCTCCCACCCTCCCTATCCCACCCCTCTAGGTGGACACACAGCACGGAGCTGATCTCCCTGTGCTATGTGGCTGCTTCCCACTAGCTATATATTTTACATTTGGTAGTGTATATATGTCAGTGCTACTCTCTCACTTTGTCCCAGCTTACCCTTCCCCCTCCCCGTGTCCTCAAGTCCATTCTCTATGTCTGTGTCTTTATTCCTGTCCTGCCCCTCGGTTCGTCAGAACCTTTTTTTTTTTTCTAGATTCCATATATATGTGTTAGCATACGGTATTTGTTTTTCTCTTTCTGACTTACTTCACTCTGTATGACAGACTCTAGGTCCATCCACCTCACTACAAATAACTCAATTTCGTTTCTTTTTATGGCTGAGTAATATTCCATTGTATATATGTGCCACATCTTCTTTATCCATTCATCTGTCGGTGGACACTTAGGTTGCTTCCATGCTAGACAAATCTCTTCTTCATCTGTTGGAGGGGGAGGGGCAACGGTTGCATTCGATGATCTCTATAACGTCCAAGTGCTCGTCCTTCCATTCTCTTTCCTGTTCATGCAGACAGAAATGTTCTGGTCCGTTCTTGAGAGTGCCTTCTCTTTTCCTTGGTCTCCATATCTCCCTTCACCTGAGCCTCTCTTGTGGTGAAGAAGTCATGAATCTATTTCTTTTGAAAGCTGCCCAGGGAATTGGGCAAGATTGTATTAGAGATGCCTAAGTTCTGGGAGTTTTGATTTTGGAACTGACATGGAATTCAGGATTAATAGAGGTATTGTAGTCCCATCTGGAATTTTATCTCAGAATCACAGGGAGATCAGCCCAGCTAACTGTGCTGCAGTAAGATTTGGAACTAGACATCTCAGCTGCAGTTTACTCTCTTGCAAGTGACTTGAGCGGGTGCAGGAGGAATTAGCTGTGCCCTCACCTCTCATCCTTAGCGCTGCCCAGAAAAGCAGGAGTGGAGGCTGGAGAGGGTGTGGCAGCAAACTTGGGCCCGGATACCTGACAAGTGGCCGACTTTATTAAATGCCCACTGTTTGGTGACTGAGCCAGGCATTGTGGAGCAGGGAGACTGAGAGGACAGCTTTCTACAAACAAACCCTGCCTGTTCTTGCTTTTGGGCCTCCATCAAGTTGTTTTCTCCAATTGGCAGGCCTTCCCTCTCTTCTTAGCTTATTGAAAATCCTCACCATCCAGGAAGTTCCACCTCTTGCGTGAAGTTCAGCAAACTTTTACCGAGGCCCTTGCAGTTCCCCAGCCCTCTTTGGGGGATATAAAGATGAATAAAGACTTACTCCCTGTCCTCGGGCGGACTATGCTATATAAATATATTGTCCTGCTTGGGTCACTGTTGCTTCATGTTTCTTCCTTTCTCCTCTTCAGCCAAAGCTTAAGCCCCTTGAGGGCAAAGGCTGTGTTTCGGGGGGCTCACAGCCACTTCAAGTTGGGTGATTCACTAGAAGGACTCATAAGATTCAACAGTGGGTTTTAGTCACAGCTAAGGTTTCTTACAGCAAAGGATACAGAGAAAGGCAGTGGGAAAAATATACGCATCGCTCAGGCACAGGCTTCCAAGTTCTTCCCTACCCAGGGCCACACAGGAGCAGCTCACAGCAAACTACAGGGACACCTGTGACATGTCTATGCCCAGGAAAGTCCACCAAGTCTCAGGGTCTGAGGTGTTTATGAAACAAAACTCAGGACTCCAGCATCGAAAGCAGGTACATCATGGCTCTTCTCAAACACTCCTGAGAGGTCCTCCCTGAACTGGTACAAACATGCCCCATTTCTCTGGACAGATACGTAAAACAACAAGGTCAATCAGAGACATAAAAAAGCCTTCTGAGGGCCATAGTCCCCGGGGTAGGTCAAGGGTCAATTATGATGCCAGGCTCCCCTGGAGACACACAAGGACTGATTGACAAGACCTTCTGTTTTAACTCCTTCTTCCAAGCTGTGTCTGGTACAGTTCATGTCCCCTCTCAGAGTGCTCAGTGTGGGGCAACACAAGACCTGGCGTCTCCTCCGAGCTCCACTCAGATACACGTCACTATCTACTCACCCCATCCAGTCCCGTAGACACTGGCACGTGAACCTGTCAAAATGTGAACTCGAACCGCCCCGCCCCCAACCACTCTTTCCCATCTCAACTGTCAGCATCAGTTGCTCTATTGCTCAAGCCCCCAGATCTGGGCATCATCCTTGATTCTCCTCTTCCTCTCACCTCCCACAGCCAATCTGTAATTCCTGTTGATTTGAACTCTGAGGCGTATCCCAAATGTGCCCACCTCCCATTCTTTCGAGCACCCTGCTCCAATCCACCATCATCTTCCATCTGCGTTACTGACCTTCTTAATGTTTCTGTTTGTCTCCCTTATGGTGTGTTCTCCCCTCACCACCCAGAGTGATCCTTCAAAATGTGTAGCAGATGTTGTCACTCCCTGCCATTCACAGCCTCCAGTGGCTCCAATGTGCTCGGATTAAAATGCAAGCATTTCACTGCCCTGCTCCCTCATCATGCTCCAGCCCCAGAGCCGGTGGGTCAGTCTGTGTCCTCCTTGTGTGATATTCCTTCTTCCAGGACTGTTCTTCCCCTAACTCTTCAAATGCTTGGATCCTTCTCATCCTTAGCATTTTATTCCCACCGTCAGCCCCTCATAGAGACCTTCTCTGACCAGCCTTGCCTGGTAGCCTTGCCTCTTGCCTCACCTGAAATCATGATTGTTTATATATTTGCTGTCACTCAGCGCTGGCTGGAATGTAAGCTTGTGAGAGAAGACGCTTTTCTATCTAGTCCACAGTTTATATCCCCAGCACCCAGCACCATGGCAAATTCAGAGTAGGCATTCAGAAATATTTGTTGGTGCATGTAGCAGATAATTAATAAATAATCAGTATGTGACTACTTAACAGTGACGAGCCGGTCTCTGCCCTTAAAAGTTTACATTCTACTGGAAAGTTGGGTGAGAACCAGCAAAACATGCAGAAAACTTCTCTGTGCTTTCCGGTATCCAACATAGGGCATGTCAGTCCTGCTGTCCTGGACAGCAGAAACCAGCAGACTGCAGAGGGGCCCCATCGAGCAGCTCGAATCTCTCCAGCCCATTGCTCTCTTTGATGGGCTTCTAGGGGCTGTTGGAAGGGAGATACCAGCAGCCTGAAAATTCCAAATGGAAGGCAAGGATCGTGGGGCACTTCTGTCTTCTGCAGGGTAGGGGCAGTGGTGTTTTTGCCAGAGCAGTGCTACCAGTGTACTTGCACCATGCTTCTGGCTTCTTCAGAGCCTGACTTTATGGGTCTCAAGAGATCCTGGAACTGTCTAATATTCTTCAATAAATTTTCTTTCTACTTAAACTAGTCAGAGTGGATTCTGTAGTTTGCAACTAAGAACTCTGACCTATCTAACAGGTTGAGGGGGGAAAAAAGATGGAAAATCAGAATCCTGACTTATAACTGACACTTAAGCTTGAATGGAAAATGTTAAAATTATACTGACGTTGGGGGCATGACTTTGAAATTGAACTAACACGTGTAACTATATCCAAGTGATATGCTAAGTTTGAGGGAGAGTAATTTATTTACTCACATGCCTGGGGAAAATTGTGTATGTGTTTTTTTTTTTTTAGATCTTGGGGGTAGGAGTTTATTAATTAATTTATTTATTTTTGCTGTGTTGGGTCTTCGTTTCTGTGCGAGGGCTTTCTCTAGTTGTGGCAAGCGGGGGCCACTGTTCATCGTGGTGCGTGGGCCTCTCACTGTCGCGGCCTCTCGTTGCGGAGCACAGGCTCCAGACGCGCAGGCTCAGTAGTTGTGGCTCACGGGCCTAGCTGCTCCGCGGCATGTGGGATCCTCCCAGACCAGGGCTCGAACCCGTGTCCCCTGCATTGGCAGGCAGACTCTCAACCACTGCGCCACCAGGGGAGCCCTGTGTATGTTTTTATGTGTATGTACAGGTCCATTAAAAAAAGACAAGCATTTTCTTCTTTCAGTTATATGCTATTATAAACCAGCATAGCTTTTATTACAAGTATGTCAGTTACTAAGGGAAAGAGACTTAAAATATTTTAAGAAAGCAAAACTAAAGTATAGGGACTCCTCCCATACAGGAACTCACGTGTTCCCAGAGAGTTTAACAGAGAGTTAGCTTAAAATGTGTATCCTCCCTTATGGTCAAAGTCCTACAAGTGAAAACAAAACACCATTTCCCTTATCAAATTGGCAAAGACTTTTTAAAAATGTTATTACTCAGTGTTGGTGAAAGTATGAAGAGATAGGTACTTATATGCCCTGCTGCTAGACATGTAAGTGAGTACAACCTTTCTAGAAAGCCATTCTACAGTCTGGAACAAGGGCCTAAAAAATGTTCATATTCTTTTTCCCAGTAAACTCAATTCTAGGAGATTCATGTTAAGGAAATGATCAGAGATTATGTGCAAGAATGTTCCTTGCAGCAGTTTTGTAATACCGAAATCTTGGAAGCAAGATAGATGTTTAACACTCAGGAAATAGTACCATCACAAGGTGAAATATTATGCAGCCATCGTTATGGAGGGTTTTGAATACAGGCACGTAGAATGATGATGATGATGGTGGTGATGATGGCCAGCACTTATTGATCACTTACTATTTGCCAGGGACGACTACACCTCTTCACGGGAATTCTCGGATCCTTGAAACAACACTTTAAGGTGAGTGCTATGATTATTCTCATTTTGCAGATAAGAAAGCTGAGGTTCAGAGAGCTTATGTAACTTGCCCAAAGTCACACTGTAAGTAAGCAATAGAGCCAGGGCTTGAATCCAGGCCTGACTACTCCAAATTTACATAAAGGCTGTTAACGGTAGTAATCTTTAGGTGATGGGATTATAGGGATTTTTAAAATTTTCTAGTTTCTATTTTCCTTTATGCTCTCAATTTTATACAATAATCACTTATCAGTTTTATAATCGGAAAAAAAAAAGCAGCTCCTCCCAGGTATTCCTGCCACCCAGGGATATAGTGACTTCTGGCGGAAGTGTCCAGGAATGAGGGTAGGGCCGAGGGCCTTGGGGCGGGAAATACTGAAGAGTTTCCTTGGGCTCGGCCTCCCCTGCTCCATGGTTTTTCCTAAGAACACTGCCCCCTAACTGGACTGGACAAGCAGCCGCCTTGGTCTGGGTTCTTGCTTCTGTCCAAGTAGAGTCTTGCTGAGGAAAGGAATGGCATATGAGCAGTGGCAGAGGGCGGGAACTGCCTGGGTTTTGAACTTCCTCCTAAAACTGCCTACCTAAATTCCTGGGTTTCACACTGCTTGCCTCGTAGCTGTGTGCTATGCAGCAAGAGTTCTGATTTGGCGCCTCTGGTATGCTTCTCTGCCACCTCTGCCTTTAGACCAGGGGTCAGTCAGCCTCCTTCTGGCTCTGGCTGGGCAGCAACCTTGTTGAGGGGGCCTCGTGTGGCCGCCAGCGGGTCATCACAGCTTGTCCTGTCTCCATACGTGAATCGGCGACTCCACCTCCCACCTGATCACAAACGGTCTTTTCCCCAGACTTGGGTCGTTGAGGGAAGATGAGGCAAGAAAATGCAGCAGACTCAGTGTGACCCCCTGCTCTAGGCCTGGGAAAGCTTCCTCAGTGCTCCTGCCTTACCAAGAATAAGTCAGTCCATGAAAGAAAGACACTCAGGGAGTTTGCCTCAGGTTAACCGAGAGACCTGGGGATGAAACTGAGCCCTCCTGCTTTCTGGGCCCCCTGTGCTGCCTATATTTAGCCACGCTGCCCCGAGCCTTGTCCACCTTGTCCGAGAGCCAAAGCAGGCAGTCTGCTCATGAACATTCCTGTGCCTGCCAGCTCACGCCAGCCAATCATTTAGATGTCTGTCTTAAAACGCGAGGCTCCCCTTGCACCCAACTCCGAGGGCCTGCAGAGAATACACACCAAGGGATTCACAGCCCGAGTTTTTCCCGAGGCCAAGTGACCTCAGACAAATGCCTGAAAGTGAAAGGCATGTGTCTCACTGCTTCGCCTTGGCAGGGCTCAGCCGGTGGCTCCCTCTCAGACCCACTGTTCCTGGTCACAGTTCTTTGAGTGTGTTGACCTACTTTCTCCCCTTCGGAGGGAAAACAGAAACCAATACATGTCTCGTGAGTGCTCTTGCTTTCAGGAATGTTGATTCTTCTGCCCCCTTGTCCTTTCCACGCTCCATTATCACTCTGCTCTACCCACTTCAAGCATGACTGGAGCAGAACCCTGAGTGGCGCTTACTGTCCCTGTTTTACAGCTGTGTTTTCAGAGGTGGTGTGGCCCACACGTCACGGGGATGGGGACAGAGCCTGCCCACCCCTCCTTTCCCTACTGTAGCCCCTGCTGTTAAGTGGCATGCTCTGGAGTGAAGTTGCTTCTGCATGAGAACCTTTTGGGAATCAGCAGGGTGTCTCTGACTTTGTGACTGGGGGCATTATGGACTGAGAGACATCCAGCTTGACTTGACCATTTCCTACATCTTCGATGTGGGCCTCCGCGAAGAGTCTTAGGTGGCTCAACCCTTTAGTTGCTTTGACAGGCAGAATTCTTTGGACAGTGTGTACAGGTGACTCTCAAATACATACATTGAGATTTTCGGTGGCAAATTAATCGTTTTAGGCTGTCTTTACCCTTCCCAGTATGCATGCCATTGCCCACTTCTCTAGACATCAGTTAGAATCAGCTTGGAAAATATATACTTATTTTAATATCAGTCTGAGAAAAATTAATTAGATGGATAAATCCGCTGGGGTTCAGAGGTAGGTTATGGCTGCGTCGTATGATGGATTCCAGAGTGCCTCTGGGATTATTGACTGGCTTTAATAAGCTGCCATGTCTGTTCTCCATGACCGTGGGTAATTGAGTGTATCTTATTTAGCTCCTCTATCCCTGGCTGCTTTGTCTCCTTTCTTCCCAACTCGTCCCTGTGTGCAGAGCAGATCATATATAACCAGCCTGCCTTCTAGCATCCTATTAGATTTCATTGACGTTGGGTAACATGTGATCTTAGAAAGGTTCCAGGTCCTTTTCACCAGCTCCAAAATCATATTGGAGTCGTGGTGGCCACAGGAGGCTGCACCTCAGCAGCCGTCTGGGCCAGGGTTAGGGTGAGCCCTCCCTCTGGAGAGCTGAGCCAGCAGCAGGTGGGGAGACAGGGTGTGGCTGCGGACGACAGTCAGGGATCTCTGCTTCTTGTGGCTGTAAAGTGCCTGTCCTGCACTGGATCATCTGGGTTGGTTGGAGGCACAATGAGAATGAATAACAACGGGACCTCTGTCTCCCCAGAACTGGAGAGGGGAGGGTGCGACTGGGATGGGGCACGAGGGTGAACTGCAGGCAGTGGATAGAAAGGGTGATATTACTGAGGAGGTGAATGATGGAGGGGACGATAATGAAAGTTATTACCTTAACGTATGCCTCAAAGTTTCCCCAAGACGCTGAAGTGAGAAGAGCCAGACTGGCAGGGTGGTGAGAAGGGGGGCAGCAGTTGGAAGCAGCTCACCGAACCTACCCTGTCATAGCCAGCACACTCTGGTGCCACGCTGACCTATGCAGCCTTGTGTGACGAGGGCAATGTGCTTTGTGTGTGCTCCCCAGTGTGGCAGTCATTAGCCACGTGTGGCTTTTGAGCACTTAAAGTGTGGCTGGTGTGACTGAGGAACTGAATTTTTAGTTGTAGTTAATTTTAATTAATTTAAATTGACCTACATGAAAAGATGCTCATCATTGCTAATTATTAGAGAAATGCAAATCAATACTACAATGAGATATCACCTCACACTGGTCAGAATGGCCATCATCAAAAAATCTACAAACAATAAGTGCTGGAGAGGGTCTGGAGAAAAGGGAACCCTCCTACACTGTTGGTGGGAATGTAAATTGATACAGCCACTATGGAGAACAGTATGGTGGTTCCTCAAAAAACTAAAAATAGAGCTACCATATGATCCAGCAGTCCCACTCCTGTGCATATATCTGTAGAAAGCCATAATTCGAAAAGATACACGCACCCCAATGTTCATAGCAGCACTGTTTACAGTAGCCAAGACATGGAAACAACCTAGGTGTCCATCAACAGAGGAGTCGATAAAGAAGGTATGGTACATGTATACAATGGAATATTACTCAGCCATAAAAAGAATGAAATAATGGCATTTACAGCAACATGGATGGACCTAGAGATTATCATCCTAAGTGAACTAAGTCAGAACGAGAAAGACAAATACCATATGTATGATATCACTTATATGTGGAACCTAAAATATGACACGAATGAGCTTATTTACAGAACAGAAACAGACTCACAGACATAGAAAACAAACTTATGGTTACCAAAGGGGAGAGGCGGTGGGGGAGGGATGGATGGGGAGTTTGGGATTAGCAGATGCAAACTAGTATATATAGGGTGGATAAACAAGGTCCTATATAACACAGGGAACTATATTCAGTATCCTGTGATAAACCATAATGGAAGAGAATATGAAAAAGAATATATATATATATCTATAACTGGGTCACTTTCGCTATACAGCAGAAATTAGCACAACATTGTAAATCAGCTATACGTCAATAAAATTTAAAAAGTAAATAAATAAATTGACCTAGCCGTGTATGGCTAGTTTGTCCAATGGGGGCAGTGCAGCCCTAGAGTCACGGTTGACAAGGGTGAGTGGGGCGGTCCACATAGCACAGGGAGATCAGCTCAGCTCGGTGCTTTGTGACCACCTAGAGGGGTGGGATAGGGAGGGTGGGAGGGAGACGCAAGAGGGAGGTGATATGGGGATATATGTATATGTATAGCTGATTCACTTTGTTATAAAGCAGAAACTAACACACCATTGTGAAGCGATTATACTCCAATAAAGATGTTAAAAAAAAATAAAGCACGGACTGCAGCCGGCAGCCCTGGTGTAAATCCTGGTTTGCCATTTACTAACTCTGCAACCTCGCACAAGTTATCCAACGTCTTTGAGCCTATTTTCTCATCTGTAAGATGGGGAGCCTAACAGTACGGACATCACAGAGGGCTGTTGGAAAGATTGAATGAGGTAATCCATGTAAAACTCTCAACAAAGTGCCTGGCATCTATGAGGCTCTCAGTAAATGGTTGCTGTCAGGATGTTTTGATGTTAAGATGTTATGATGTTTCGTCCTATCTTACTTTTCTGTGCTTTGGCCCTCGTCGCTGAACATGAGTAAATCAACCTGACTTGCTAAGTGCCTGGAGGTGTGAGGATAATAACATTTGCCCTTATTGACTCCCTTGAGCTCCATAGCACAGGATCTGTTATTTGATTTTGTAACTTTATTGTGTCTGAGCTCTGAATGAAATGAGAGTTTTTAATGAAAGAAAAGATGAAATAGTCAAGGTCAGAATAATAACATGAAAAAAAGTCACATGTCCCACATTTCCAATTCCACATTCATTGAACAGGCATTTGCTGAGAGACTAGTGATTACAAGCACAGACTCTGGAGCTAGACTGACTGGGCTTGTATCCATTACTAGCTGTGTAACTTGAGCAAAGTTACTTAATTTCATATTTGTCTTTATTTCCTATTTGTCAATTGGGCATAATACTACCTGCCTCATAGGGTTGTTGTAAATGAATCAATACATGTAAAGCACTTATAGAATTACTTGGCACTGATAAGCACTTGATAAATATTGGCTGATGTGATTACTATATGCTAGGCACTATATTAGGTGCTGGTAAAACAAAGCTAAGGAAGTACCATCCCTGCCCTCATTAAGCTTATAGGCTAGTAGAGGGAGAGAGCTACATGAACATAGAAATACAATAAGATACTACAGAAAATAAAGATGCTCAGGATGCTGAGGGGACATCAAGAGAGAAGAGAGCAAGTTGGCTTGGTTGGAGGGCAAAACTTTTCATAAGGCTGGAGAGCAGGTAGTGGTGGGGTGCATCGCAGGTACATGTTTGTAGAAATAAACAAGGATGATGCATCCAGAGAACTAAAGGCAATTGATAAATTGGTATGCCTAGGGTGTAAGGGAGAGGGAGTAAGTGGAAGACAGGATTGAAAAGGTCAGCAGGAAGCAGGTCCTGAAAGACCTTATACATTAGGTATAAGAATTTGTACTTTATCTTCTTTTAAAAAATAAATTATTTATTTGTGGCTGCATTGGGTCTTCGTTGCTGCACATGGGCTTTCTCTAGTTGCGGTGAACGGGGGCTGCTCTTCATTGCAGTGTGCGGGCTTCTCATTGCGGTGGCTTCTGTTGTTGCGGAACATGGGCTCTAGGCACGTGGGCTTCAGTAGTTGTGGCACACGGGCTCAATAGTTGTGGTGCACGGGCTTAGTTGCTCCGCGGCATGTGGGATCTTCCCAGACCAGGGCTCGAACCTGTGTCCCCTGCATTGGCAGGCGGATTCTTAACCACTGCGCCACCAGGGAAGTCCTGTACTTTATCTTGAACAATGGGAAACCATTGAAAGGTTTTAAGAAAGGAAGTACCATGATCAAGGGATTTTAGAAGGACCCTACTGGCAGCAGTTGGGGGTCAATACTGGAGGCAGAGATATCAGCTAAGAAACTATTGTAGTCATCCAGGCATGAAATGATGAGATTGATGACCTAAGGTAACTGTCACGGGGATGGAAAGGTGGGGAACAGTACTGGAGATGTTACGAAGAGGTCCAACTGACTGGTGAATACAGAAGGAGGACCGGTTTTGAAGAGGAAGTCGATGGAGTCATTTTGGGACACACTGGGTTTATGTAAGGCATTTGATAGTGGTTCTGGAACTCCTAGAAGAAGGAGGTGAGGACTGGAGATACAAATGTGGGAGACATTAGAACTCTGCATCAGGCCCCCTTTTTCTCATTCTCTGCTTTCTTCCTAGGTTATTTATTCCCAGGGCTTTAAATACTGTATCTGTATTGATGAATTCAATTTCTAAACTTCCATCTCTAGCCCTGACCACCTCACTGAAGTCTATCTAGACTTCTTTAACTAGCCATCTACTTAGGATCTCCAGTTGGGTGACTCATACACATCTCAAATTTAGCATGTCCAGAACTCAGTTCTTGAAGCAATCCCCAACCCCGCTTGCTCCTCCCCTTGTCTTCCAGCCTCAGTGAATGGCACCTACCATGTGTCTAGTTGCTTCAGCCAAACACCTGAGGGTCAGACACTCTGGTTGTTCCTTCAAGCTGCCTTTGTAAGAATTCCTTCCCCTGCCCATCTCTTCTGAATCTCATTCTACTCTTCAGGCTCTTCTTGAAGTAATCCTAAGATCATACATTTCCCATGGCTTCAACAACCTCCATCCATCTCCCGACTCATTCATTCAGCAGATATTCATTGAGTACCTTCTAGGTGCTAGAGATTCATCAGGAACAAGGCAAATAGAGTTGCCACTCTCATGGAGCTTACATGCAAGTGGCAGGGAAAAAATATAATGAACAAGCAAACCAACAAATGAAACAACCGCAGATGACAGTAAGCGCTGGGAGAGAGTAAAACAGGAGATGCGATGCGACACTGACCAGGCTCAGGGCCTACTTAGTTGGGATGATCAGGGAAGGCCTCCCTGAGGAGCTGACACTGGAACTGAGACGTGGATGATGAGAGAACATTTTAGGCAAGTTCAAAGACCCTCAAGAGGGAGCAAATTATAGCTGGGAGCATAGCAAACAAGGATGGGATGAGATCAGAGATTTAGGCAAGGGCTGTATCTTACTAGGTCAAAGTAGAGAGCTTAGATGTTATGCAAAGTGTATTCAGAAGTCCTTGGAGGGCTTCAAAGCAGGGAGACTGATATGAGCTGATTTATATATTTAAAAGTGGGCTCTGGCTGTTGTGTAGAGAATGGCCTATGCAAGCAGGGAGACCGGGGAGGAGACTGTTGCAGTGATCTGGGAGAGATGACAGTAGCCTGCATTACAGTGGAGGCCACAGGCATGGAGAGAAGTAGAGAGACAGAGTATGTTTATTGGACAGAGGACTGGTGGAGTTTGCTGGATGAGGGATGGGAGATGAGGGAGAGGAAGGAATCAAAGGTACCAGCACAGTACCTAGTAGGTGCTCAATGAATATTTGCTGAATGAATGAGTCAGGATACGGATGGAGGTTGTTGAAGCCATAGGAAATGTATGATCTTAGGATTACTTCAAGAAGAGCCTGAAGAGTAGAATGAGATTCAAAAGAGACGGGCAGGGGAAGGAACGCTTACAAAAGCAACTTGAAGGAACAACTAGGGTGGTAGGAGGAGAAACAGGAAAGTGTGATAGTACAGAAGGCAATCCTGTTTCCCTCTCCAGAAGTAACCAATGCTAACAGATGGGTGGGTAGCCTTCCAAATCATCTTCTGTATATTTACATACATTCACAAATGTTTATATTACATGCATATGTAGTTTGGGGTTTTATGTAAATGAACTCATAGTACATGCATTATTCTAGCACTTGCTTTTTTTTTTAAAAAAGAAACAGCTTTGTTGAGCTATAATTCACATACCATACAATTCACACATTAAAAGTGTACAATTCAGTGGTTTTCAGTTACATTCACAGATATGTGCAACCACCACCATCATCAGTTTTTGGAACATTTTCAAAAAGAAACTCTGTACCCTTTAGCTATTACTCCCTTATCCACAATCCCCACCCATAACCCTGAGCAACCACTAATCTCCTTTCAGTCTCTACAGATTTGCCTATTCTGGACTTTCATATAAATGGAAGTATATAATAGGTGGTCTTTTGTGACTGGCTTGTTTCACTTAGCACATGTTTTTGAGGTTCCCCTATGTTATAGCATGAGTCAGAACTTCAGTCTTTTTATTGCTGAATAATATTCCATTGTGCATATAGACCACATTTGGTTGATCTATTCATCAGTTGGTGGACACCGGGTTGTTTCCACTTTTTGGCTATTATGAATAATACTGTTCTGAACATTCAAGTACAAGTTTTGGTGTAGACGTATATTTTCATGTCTCTTGAGTATGTACCAAGGAGTGGAATTGCTGGGTCATATGGTAGCTCTATGTTTGACGTTTTGAGGAACTGCCACACTGTTTTCCAAGGTGGCTGCACCATTTTACATTCCCACAAGCAGCCTGTAAGGGTTCCAGTTTCTCCACATCTTCACCAACACCTGTTACAATCTATCTTTTTGGTGATTGCCATACTCAGGGTTGTGATATCACTTGCTTTTGAATTTAAGGTGCCTTGAATATTGTTCCATTTCAGCACATATAGATTTCTTGTGTATATAAGTGCTATGTAATATTCCACAGAGACTGTGCTTTTCAAGATGATCCTATCTGTACTGTTGTGTTGTTTCCTCCCCCAGGGCTCAGCACAATGGACATAGAAACAGCAGAGGTCGATGACTGCATTGATCCAAATTTGGAAGTTGTGTGGCAGGTAAGGCAGGAGGATGAGGTGAGAATGGTGTTGATGGTAATGGTGAGAGAGTTCTTGAAGTGAGTTACCAACGCTGGTGCATATCATTCCTGTGTAAGTGACAGTGAAGAGGAGCTGGAGTGGATGATACAGCATAGTGGCTGGAACCTTAAAAGTAGGGGTTTTGCATGACACTGGAAAGATAGTTTTGTTTTGTTTTGTTTTGCATTTACCCATTTCCTTTGTTGAGTTTTTCTTTCTTTTTTCTAAGATAAGCTGGGACGAAGTGAGAGAGTGGCATGGACATATATTCACTACCGAATGTAAAATAGATAGCTAGTGGGAAGCAGCCACATAGCATGGGGAGATCAGCTGGGTGCTTTGTGACCACCTAGAGGGGTGGGATAGGGAGGGTGGGAGGGAGACGCAAGAGGGAGGGGATATGGGGATATATGTATATGTATAGCTGATTCACTTTGTTATAAAGCAGAAACTAACACACCATTGTGAAGCAATTATACTCCCATATAAATGTTAAAAAAAAAGATTACATCATTCACTGTTTGTCTTCTTTAACAGATAATTCAGAACATAATATAACCTTCCTTTGTGACTCAGAATGGCCATTATGACCATCTGCTTTTGCCCTGGGCCTTTGAGGTATGTAGGAATATGTCTTTCCCTATTAAATGGGTCCCAGATTTCTGTGCTTTTGAAATTCTATCTCGTTTACTTTCCAGCTTTACTCTTTTTGGTGTCAGAGGCTGAGATCAGCGTATTCTAGGTTCTTCTAATGTACAGGTGTTTGACCAAGGACTGACCCCATACACCTCCTGTGAAGTTCATGGATTTTATGATGGCCATGTGACATGCTGTTTAGATGTTTTTTTCTTTTCTAGGTTTGTGGTTATATTATGGCAGAGGTTATGAGAAATCTGATCTCCAGAGAAGTGTCGGTGCTTCTTTAATATGATATAGCTATTTGGGGCTAGTTTTCTAGCATTGCAGGATTTAATGAATAAGTTTGTATTTACCTTATCCACACTCTTTTTAATGGTAGAGACCTGCTCTGTCCAATACAAGTAGCCACTAGGTACATGAAGCTTTTACAATTTAAATATAAATTAATTGAGTAAATCAGTAGTACTAGCCACATTTCAAGTTCTCAGTAGTCACGTGTGGCTAGTGGCTACCATACTGGAGAATGCAGGTGCACAACATTCCCATCATCACAGAAAGTTCTGTTTTTCAGCAGTGGTCTAGACTTCGAATCAGTCTCCTCTCAGGTTTCCCCTTTCCAGATTGAAGTCGCATGTTTTCAGCATGTCCTTGTGCAGTAGCCATGTTCCTACTACTCTGCGATACCCCCTGGCCTCCTACCCTGATCATGTCACTTGCCCTCTGTCAGTGTCTTAGTTCCTGTTGCTGCTATAACAAATTACCACAAACTTCATGGCTTAATACAACACAAATTTAGTATCTTACAGTTGTGGAGATCAGAAGTTTAAAATAAGCCATTTTGGGACTTCCCTGGTGGCGCAGTGGTTAAGAATCTGCCTGACAGTGCAGGGGACACGGGTTCGAGCCCTGGTCCAGGAAGATCCCACATGCCGCGGAGCAACTAAGGCCACGCACCACAACTACTGGGCCTGCGCTCTAGAGCCCACGAGCCACAACTACTGAAGCCCGCACACATGGAGCCCGCGTTCCGCAACAAGAGAAGCCACCGCAGTAAGAAGCCCGCGCACTGCAGCGAAGAGTAGCCCCTGCTCAAGGCAATTGGAGAAAGCCCGTGCACAGCAACAAAGACTCAAGGCAGCCATAAATAAATAAATAAATTTATTTTTTAAAAAATCTGCCATATTTTAGCTTCCAGAAGCCACCTGCATTCCTTGGCTCCTGGCCCCCTTCCTCCATCTTCAAAGCCAGCACGTAGCATCTTCAAACCTCTCTCTCACTGTCTGACCTCTGCTTCACATTGCCTCCTCTAACTCTGACCCTCCTGTCTGTCTCTTATATGGACTCTGTAATTAGAATAGGCCCACCTGGATAATCCACGATAATGTCCCCCTCTTAAATCCTTAACTTAATCACACCTGCAAAGTCCCTTTTACCATGTAAGGTAACATTTCCACAGATCCCAGGGGTTAGGATGTGGACATCTTTGGGGAATCATGATTCAGCCTACCATAACAGGCAGTGTTCTCCAGTGGCATCTTGTTTTCCTTGAGGACCAGTGCTACACAGAGTATGCCACACACTGATACGCCAAGGTTTTATGCAAAGGAAGGAGAATATTTTAAAATCTTATTTTCTGCCTCCATCCTGTCTGGAAATACCAAACTTTGGTTGTTCTGACTCCTCAAAATCTGATCCTGTGAGTACAGTGGCACAGGAGTATCTTACAGGCAAGGCAGATCCACAGCTGACTCAGCGTCCTATCAAGAGTGTTTACCCCACTGTAACACAGTTGCTCCTTCAGGGCTGATCTCTGCCAGCCTTCCTTAAAAACAAACAACACACACACATACACACAAACAAACCCCCCCAAACTGGGAGCTTGTTATATTAACCAAAGCAAAGCCTCCTGAGCTTCTCTTTGCCAAGGAAAGGGTGGCAGATGAAAGCCTGAGTCATTCCCAGGAGAAGCAGCAGCAGAAACCAGTGCAAAATTGGTCTTCGACTTCCAGTCTGGACAAGATGGCATAGACTCATTTCTCCTTGCTCCTCACAGCTAAGTATAATTATGAATCCTAGAAATAATTCAAGAGGCAACCAAAGGAGAATTCTAGAAGATGTAAAGAGGACGGTAGAATGGTTAGGAATTCCAGGACTGGAGGAACGCTATGGTAGCCTTATGACTTACTACCCAACAGAAGAAGGCGACCCAGGCCCAGCATTTCCCAGCTGCCAACCTAGCAACAGTGGCTCAGATGGGCTGCTTCTCCCTCTGGTTTGAATGGGAGTCCTGCTGACAACACCAAGTGAGCATGGCAACTCCAGCAAAGGGAGTCTAACAGGGAGCCCCACTGACAAGAAGCAGCCAGGGAAAGTGCTTTCCTTTCCCACCAGGCCAGAGACTCCCCCCCGCCACCAAAAGATACTGTGCAACCAGGGCACCATCAAGAGGAAATCCCACTACAACAAGTAGTCTGGCTCAGGAAGCCTTTGTCCCCATGGTCTTAAGGATCCCCTCTCCCCAGAAGAGATACCAGGAGGGCATACAGCACTGGCAAGTGTGTGTGGGGGGTTCCACCAGAGTAAGCAAAGCCAGGGAAGATTTGTTGTTTCCACAGACTAGAGACTCACTTCCTCCACCTAGAGACATCCAGGCAACGCAGCCTGGTAAAGCACCTTCTGCTCCCTCAGGCAACACCAGCAGGGACCAGTGAGGGCCCCATCAGCACCATGTTAACCAATCAGAACAAAACTGCACCACAGAGGCTCTGAAAACTAAATCGTCACTGAAATCACAGCCCACAAAAGTAGGCTAGGACTTGTGTGCTAAACCTAAACATTGACTGCCTGCTAAAATAAAAGATTTAAATAGTCTCCTAACATAGTAGCCGAAATGTCCAGAATACAATGAAAAATCACCCATCATACCAAGAACCAGAAAATCACAACTTGAATGAGAAAAGACAATCAATCAACTGACATCAATAACGAGATGAATCAGTTGTTAGAATTATCTGACAAGGATTTTAATGCAGCATCACAAAAATGCTTCAGTAAGCAATTGCAACATCTCTTGAAACAAATGAAAAAGAAAGTCTGAGCAAAGGAAAAACAAGTTATACAGAAGAACCAAACAGAAATTATAGAACTGAAGAATACAGTAATAGAAATTCAAAACTTGCTATATAGGCTCAATAGTGTAGTGGAGATGACAGATGATAGAATCAGTGAGCTTGAGGATAGACCAATAGAACTTAATCTGAGCAGCAGAGAGAAAATAGACTGGAAAAAAATAGAGCCTCAGAAACCTGTGGGAAATAACAAAAGGTCCAACATTCATATCAGAGTCCCAGAACGATAGCAAAACCAGACAAAGGCAGTGCAGAAAAGGGAGAAAACTATAGATAAGTATCTCATGAACTTAGAAAAATCTTCAACAAAACATTAGCAAAATGAAACCAACAATGTATGAAAGAATTATACACCATGACCAAGTGGGATTTATTCAAGGTATACAAGCCTGGTTCAATATTTTAAAAATCAGTCAAGATAGTCTGCCAAATCAAAAGACTAAACAAAAATCATATGCCTGTATCAATTGGCACAGAAAAACACATTTGATAAAATTCAACATTTATTCGTGATAAAAACTCTCAGTACGCTAGGAATTAGAGGGGAACTTCCTTAACTATGTAAAGAACATCTACAAAAAACATACAGCTAACATTATACTTAATGGTGAAAGACTGAATGCTTTCGCTCTTAAGATTGGAACAAGGCAAGCATGTCTGCTCTTATCACTTCTATTCAACATTTTATTGGAAGTTCTAGATAGTGAAACAAGGCAAGAAAAAGAAACTTTAAAATATACAGATTAGAAAGAACAAAGTAAAACTGTCTCTATTTGCAGAAAACTTGATCATCTGCATACAAAATCACAAGAAATCTTAAAAAAAAAAAACCCTTCTAGAACTAATAATGGAATTCAGCAAGGCCGTATGATACAAGAGCAACACACAAAAATCCATTACATTTCTATATAGTAACTGGAAATCTAAAAAAAACAATAACACCTTTTATAAGTGCTCCAAAGAAAATGAAATATTTAGGTATAAACTTAACGAAACAGGTACAGGAATTGTATGCTGAAAATTACAAAACACCGATGAAAGAACTTAAGACATTAGTAATTTGAGAGACTGACCGTGTTCATAGATTGGAAAACTCAATTAACATACTAAGATGTCAGTTCTCCCCAAGTTGATTTATAGGTTAATGAAATCTCTATCAAAACCCAAGCAAGGATTTTTGTAGATATAGATAGGCTTATTATAAAATTTCTA